AGACAAAATACAAAATAGGTTCCTCTGGTTCTTCTAGTTCCTCTGGTTCCTCTGGCTCCTCTAGTTCCTCTGGTTCCTAAGGTTCCCCTGGTTCCTCAGGTTCCTCTGGCTCCTTTAGTTCCTCTGGTTCCTCCGTTTCCTCTGGTTCCTCTGGTTCCTCTGGTTCCTCTATCCGGTCGCCTTTATTAGCTTTCCTCCAGATCCCTCAGGAGACAAAATACAAAATCAGTTCCTCAGGTTCCTCAGTTTCTTCTGGTTCCTCAGTTTCTTCTGGTTCCTCTGGTTCCTCTGGTTCCTCTGGTTTCTCTGGTCCCTCTGGTCCCTCTGTTTCTTCTGGTTCCTCAGGTTCCTCAGGTTCCTCAGGTTCCTCTGGTTCCTCTGTTTCCTCTGGTTCTTCTAGTTTCTCTGTTTCTTAAAAGAAAAATGTATTTATTTATTTAATCAGGACAGTGCACATTAATGCACACAAAATCACAAAATACTAAATCTGTTCCTCTGGTCCCTCTGGTTCCTCAGGTTCCTTTGGTTCCTCTGGTTCCTCAGGTTCCTCAGGTTCCTCTGTTTCCTAAAAGAAAAATGTATTTATTTATTTAATCAGGACAGTGCACATTAATGCACACAAAATACAAAATCAGTTCCTCAGGTTCCTCTGGTTCCTCTGGTTCTTCTGGTTCCTCTGGTTCCTCTGGTTACTCAGGTTCCTCTGGTTCTTCTAGTTCCTCAGGTTCCTCTGGTTCCTTTGGCCGGGTGCCTTTATTAGCTTTGCTCCAGATCCCTCAGGAGACAAAATACAAAATAGGTTCCTCCAGTTCTTCTAGTTCCTCTGGTTCCTCTGGCTCCTCTAGTTCCTCTGGTTCCTCTGTTTCCTCTGGTTCCTCTGGTTCCTCTGGTTCCTCTATCCGGTCGCCTTTATTAGCTTTCCTCCAGATCCCTCAGGAGACAAAATACAAAATCAGTTCCTCTGGTTTCTCTGGTTCCTCAGGTTCCTCTGGTTCCTCAGGTTCCTCAGGTTCCTCTTGTTCCTCTGTTTCCTCTGTTTCCTCTGGTTCCTCTGTTTCCTCTGGTCCCTCTGGTTCCTCAGTTTCCTCTGGTTCCTCAGTTTCTTCTGGTTCCTCTGGTTCCTCTGGTTTCTCTGGTCCCTCTGGTCCCTCTGGTCCCTCTGTTTCTTCTGGTTCCTCAGGTTCCTCAGGTTCCTCTGGTTCCTCTGGTTCCTCAGGTTCCTCAGGTTCCTCTGGTTCCTCTGTTTCCTAAAAGAAAAATGTATTTATTTATTTAATCAGGACAGTGCACATTAATGCACACAAAATCACAAAATACAAAATCAGTTCCTCAGGTTCCTCAGGTTCCTCTGGTTCTTCTGTTTCTTCTGGTTCCTCTGGTTCTTCAGGTTCCTAAAAGAAAAATGTATTTATTTATTTAATCAGGACAGTGCACATTAATGCACACAAAATACAAAATCAGTTCCTCAGGTTCCTCTGGTCCCTCTGGTTCTTCTGGTTCCTCTGGTTCCTCTGGTTACTCAGGTTCCTCTGGTTCTTCTAGTTCCTCAGGTTCCTCTGGTTCCTCTGGTTCCTCTGGTTCCTCTGGTTCCTTTGGCCGGGTGCCTTTATTAGCTTTGCTCCAGATCCCTCAGGAGACAAAATACAAAATAGGTTCCTCTGGTTCTTCTAGTTCCT